TAGTATTTCAATATCGAGTTCAACCAGGAAAATTTACAGTACACAATCGTGGTGTAAATGTTGGAATGGCATGGCGAGTATATGATGCAAAAGCAATTAAATCATATGGGTTACTTCTAAAGAGCTCATAAAAAATGAAATTTACATTTGACTATCATTTAAAAAGCATTGGCTTTAAACACCACAAATCTATTCGACATTCTACAAAATAAAACTATCCGATACCATCAAATGAGGGTGTGGGTGTGGGTATGTGGATGTGAGGCATGTGAGGTATGTGTGTGAAAGAAGATGCCACACCCTATATGAATGAATGGGTTGCGATTCCTTATCTTTGTCGGCTGTTGGCCATCAAGACATCCTCGACAATTAGATGACTTGAATATATTGCTAAACACGACATAGAAACTATTTTTTATGTTGACAGCACAGTGATACACACTACAACTTCCATAAGAAGTGAGATGAGAATCATTGTTCATACACTGAGCAAGTAGAGTTACTCAAAGTTATTGTGTTATCCTTAGCAGAAGTAGAGAAAGTACATCTTCAATCGATTGTCTACGGCATTCCGTACGAGAAAGATCATAAGACCAAACAACGAGTGAACATAATGACGATAGTAATAGCAACCAAGATGTATGATCATTGACCTACGACAAAACTAACAACTCGAAAAAAATGCTAATAATCAACAAATTAACAATGACATGACTTTAATCGTATATTCGAAAAAATCAAACCAATCGAAAGGATTCGACAAGTGCACTATTTCATCTTTTTATGTTACCATGCAGATTACATTCGTTATACGATACAGAATCTACTAACATCCACTGTAGAATAGGGATGTATTTCGTGTTAAAATGTAAAAATAATGGAGGCAGAGAATAGGGCACCAGTGCTGATATGGTGCAATTATGAGCACCAGTCCGCATGAATAAACATAATTCACCAGATACGAAGAAATACCAAGGATTTCCAAGAACTAACCCATCATCTAGTGATGAAAAACATGACATCTAATGAATTCACAGGGACGATCCATCTAAAAAAAAGAACTTCATTTCAGTCTTGACAATCCTTCAGTAATTCAATATTTGACAGAGAGGGAAAACGTATGTTCGAAATGACAGCGTACTTATTTTAAAGAAAAAAACGTTCCATTATGACAATACTTTATCATTTTAGCAGAACAGTAGTAGAAAGTATTTGCATAGGTAAACATTTTTTAAAGTATCGAGTCAGGATGTAGGTGTGGCTGCATGCAGAAAAGAGCAAACACCCACACTTTCATTTTCAAAGAAAACAGAATGTTGATTCGCCAATCATTATAACCACGAATGATTTCTACTGAGCATTCTTGAGGAACGCGTTCTTTGCTTTTTAAATCCGAAAAGAATAATTGATTTCATTCAATCATTTCTTCGTTTTATTTTAGGTAATGACAGATTGAAGTCTAAAAAAATCGTGTTGTACAGTGCATCAAACAGAGAATCCTATGAAGTCTAGACGGTCGATGAAATCAAATGCGAGTTTTACAATTGATGGTTCCATCTTATCTTGCAGTACAGGAAGGCAGAAGAGCAGAAAATATTTTTGCAACATTCAGGAAGCGGTGTATATCTATCTTAAGCGATACGTAAAACAATACTCTGAAAAAGTCGAGCGGTGACATATTATAAGCACTAACTGTTAAGATTAAGATAATGAAAAGAAAAATCGGAGAAAGCAACAATTATCTTCGGACAAGTTGACCTTGATTTCTCTACTTTTGGCAGGTTCATTCTATTGTATTATATAGAATTGTAATACCAAATTATAGCTCACATTAAACAGTATAAAGTCATAAAAAAGTCTGTTTGAAAAAATGCATCGAAGACAGAGACTTGGCAAACTTTGAATCTTGCCAGCAGATCATAAATGTTAAGTAATACGATAAGAAAAACATTAGTGAAAATTAATGTTAGTCTAATGAAAAATTAGCGGTTATATTGAACTAGTGATAGCGATAGAATTCGAATAATCTTTGTTCAAGTTCAATGCGAGACGACACAAAAGTCTGGTGATTACGTTTGCCAATACGTTTATTAGAAGCATTGTAGTATTAAAGATTGCTTTTGTCTCTCTCACAAAAAATACTTTATGATATTATCTATCTCGCGAATAGGCATGCAATAATACTAATATGATATTGGGTTCTTGGATCTGCTTTGTCTTTTCTAATCAACAAGAGCCCATGGCATTTAAATTCTCCATGTGGAGACCATTAAGAAGGTGAACAAAACATGCGATCATACCACTCAAAGTCCAATTCAAATGAACTATGAATTTCGAAAGAGAAAAGTTCAATTTGATGTTGCAATGATAGAAACCAATGAGGAAGAAAAAGTTGAGTGCATGGATGTAGAAAGAACAATACTAGATATAGATTTTAAGTAAATCGTTAATCATTAACATTCGATACAAACAAGTTTGATCACCAAAACATTAATACTTCTTTGCGAGTTATTTCGAAATTACACTCTACAGACCAAATCGATTTCTTCAATAAATTTCAACACAAAAAAAAAGAATGAAAATGTCCTGTGCAGGAATCGAACCTACGATCTTCTGTGAGTAATACAGATGCGATAGCCACTACGCTAACAGGACTATGTATGTAGTGAAAATTATTTTTATTATTTCATGTACGGTGTAGGATAAACCAACAAGTATTATGCATTAGTTATATGTACATAAAAATCATATTGATATGAACTCATGTTTCAATTCATTCTCATGTTTGTCTTTTTTACTGGCTCTTAGTTGAGAGGAAATATTATTTATTACAAATCAGACTGACTTTTGACTCAACTCCTATGAGCAAATCGTTCATAATTTCTTTCTATATCAATTGATATTAGATGTTGATACAGACTTGATAGAACAAGTGTTATCTAAGATTCAAACTACAATATCGTGACAACTGTTGTCACTCAATATTCTGTGTTAGAAAATGTACTAATGATTTTGTTTTGTATATTTTATGTAACAAACCATGATCATGATTGCGAATGGCTGCGCTGATATTAATCTGTTCATACATATGTCTTTCAAAATTCATAGTTTAGTCATTCCGGATTTCAAAGTAATAGAAAGTTCTATACAAATGAAACAACTTCTATTTTACTTCGTCTCAGACACTTTCATAATATTGGGAAGTAGAATTTATTATAATTTTTTCATTTCATTCTTGTGAGAAATATTTTTCATGTCCCTCTTGGCAAATCTTGAGTCACATACATTTTGCCGTTCTGTGTCAATATTGATTTATTATTTTACGTCCATGTTCTCATTAATGCTTGTTTGCATATACATATATAAAGATGACCATTATAAAGACAAACGAATAAACTTCAGTAAGTGTGCTTCGAAGTAAGCCTAGCTCAGATTCCATCGACAATCGACAACAATTGCAAGAGTATGTACCACTCAAACAAGTGACTGTCGATACAACTGTAAAATCTTTCGCCGCCAATGTAACTAATGTCACTAATATGGATGCTCTGTCATCCGGAAAAAGAATGTTGTATAACGATCTCGTACATCTCTAAACTGAATTTGATTCAATATGGTCGTACAATTCGTTTCACTGTTTCGACTACTATTGCTTCATGTTACAATTCAAATCAAGGTGGTATCAGTTCTTCTGCTGGAACCGCATCTAAATATGTTCAATCGAGTCCCTACACCATCGAAGTTTCTCGAATTAGTTCATCATCTCGTTCAATTCAACTTGATGTCGGAGAACCAAATGTTTATGTTATCGAATTCGCTCAACAAAATATTCATTTGGATCGAGATGTTCTTCTAGACAATGACTTGACTGAAAATCGATCGAATACTATAGTTGCAATCGAGCCTGGTGCTGTTATAGCTTCGTTCACTCCAACTGATGAGGGCTATCGACGTGCAATGAACAATACAGCAATGCCCAATGAATTTATGTTTATTATCGATTGCAGTGGATCAATGACCAGCGAGAAAAAGATCGGATAAGCACATCAACCAATAATTGTCTTCCGGTTCATTCTCATTTCAACATTGTCCGATTCGGAAGTAAATATCAAACATTTGTTTAACGAGATCATGGCTGTACATGACAACAAGAATGCTCGAAAAGTCGAGGAACTCACTAACGACATGAGAGCATATATGGGTGGTACTGCGTTGGTAGGTTTGATCTTTCTCAGTTGTTTATTTATTGTTGAGCATGTCCTTTTATTTTAGTTGAAACCATTTGAATTGCTACAACGACACTCATCTAAATAACGTCGATCTCCTTAAATCTTTCTTCTAACTGATGGTGAAATTTCCAATGTCAGCGAAGTATTGCATCTCTGTCGTTCAGTGTCAACTTCAACCAGAATTTTTTCTTGTGGTTTCGATGACTCATCGAGTCGTTCGCTTGTCAAAGGTCTTGCACGAAATAACCAATGATCATTTTGTTTTCATTTCGCCCAAGAACAGTGTCGATGTTTATTCCAGTGACAATTTTGGGTAAATCAGTATTGAGTGCGCTCACAGAAACACCACCGGTTTATACCAGCCATTGTCTAAACATTGACAGATGATCAAACTTCGACATTTGATCACAATTCCAGTGTCGAATTGTGTATGAATCAACATTATTGGATGAAGCGAGAGTTGATTGTAGACCAAATGTAAGTAACGCAGGTACCATTGTTCAACTGGCAATCAAAGCACTCATTATCGAATTGCAACATGCTAAAATTCAAGGACAAGATCAATTTCAATATCTTGCACCATCGACAGTAATCAACAATGAAAAAGAAATGATAAACAAGCGAATCGTCGAACTGTCACTCGAACATCGAATCTTTAGTCCATACACGACATTTATCGGAGTGGAAAAACGAAGTGATGCAAGCAATGCTGAAATGGTTCTATCCGAAGTGACTATTCAAATCTCACCCAATGATCAGCACTTGTAAAACAGGACATCAGATTAATTCTTGTTTTGTTCCAAGTTAAATGAATGCAGAAAGAACGAGAGCGTTCCTAATGTGACAGAAAAGTAAATTAGAATCAATGAGGCATGTCAAATAGCCATCAACTAACGATCGGATGACGCAAACAAGTTCATCGAGTTCTTCAAGTCCTCCAATAACACTTGAAAGCATCATAGGATCTTTATTTGATGTACCAGAGGCCAATGTTAAAATGGAGAAGAACGAAGAAACATGATCAATAGACGATCACGATATTGTTCGCTATTTAATCAACAAATAGAAGTTTGATGGCGTATGGGAATTGGATGGAGACATTATTGAAAAATTGACGGGCAGTCCTCTAACAAATTTCTCATCACTCAACGACAATGTTCAAGTTCTCATTCCGGCTATTGTTATTATCACATTTGAAACACGTTTCGCTTCGTATTCTATCATATGACAGTGTGCAGTTCAAAAAACACGCCAGCGTCTCCTTGATTTATTTAGTCATGGCAGAAATCAATTTGACACTATATTGAAGAGTATTCGTCAACAGATTTGATTTCCGACTATCGTAGTTCTATGCTAACGCTGTTATGACTAACAAACTCAATTATCAATTTTCAGTTGAGTCTACTTGTTTTTCTCATTTATTTGATTTGAAATGATTTTTTTTTCAACAAAATATACACGATTTTAATAGAACACAGAGCAAATGAGTCATTTATTTTTATTAGTTGAGCGCATGCTTTGCTGGACACATATACATGTATTCTTTTATTTTCTATCTGTTTACTTGTGTTTTTGTTTCCAACTTGAGATGCAGTTGTTATAATTGAAATCAAATATTAAAATCAGTATACATGAATTACAGAATAAAGAGACACTTAATTATTTGTATTACTTCTAGTTGAAACTCTGCTGCATATCAATAAGATTTCAATAGGTTGTCGTAGCTTTGGGAAGCAGTCATTACAATATATTATACTACTTCGTGTATTACAGAATGATTTTATCCGATGTTAACTGGAAAGCTATACACCAATAATTGCAGACGAAGTAATAGCAGATAATAAAACTTATAGCAGCAAGTGATGCTGTAATGAACGTGTCTATAAGTCAGAAAACTTTAAAAGTAATTGCAGATACATCAATGAAATGAATTTATTGTGAAGACGATGACTGTAGATAATCCTCTGTGTCCATCGGGGTATGAGTGTTGATATCCACTTAATGACAGTCATATGCACATCCACACCTTCGATGTTCAACCTCATGTTATAATGACTATTAGATAGTGTGTTTAAGTTCAAGAAAAATAAACTTATGACATACATAGTAACAATAATGTCTAGTGAACTCTAAAAATTGTTGTTAATTAAAAATGAAATTGAATGTTTAAGTTTTCTTAATATTTTTATGAGTAAATTTTCAAGAATTTGAAAAACAAAAGTCTCAAATTTTAGATTGTCTTTTTTTATTTATATAATTCGAATTAAGAAAAATCATTGAAATTATGTTAAACAGTTTTTGAATTTCGGTTTTATGTTTGCAAATGAAAAGACATTCTTGCTAGTCTTAGGTCTCAACAAAAACTACTATAAGCATATTGAGATTCCTTAGTCGTGATTAATGTAGTTTCATCGTATTTTATATTCTAATCCGACAGGGATTACGCTGAAAGCTTTTATAGTAATATTGACACTTGTGTAATAGCTTCAATTATTCTTCTTCTATATTCATTATTTGAATTTTTACCGTAATAACATGAATGAGTTTAAACAAGAAATAAGATGGCATGTAAATAGGATACTCAGATTCAGTTAAATTTCTGATACAGAATCTGTTGTGGTAGCAAAAAACAACGAACTTTTAATTAACTCTGTTTGTATTCAATTTAGAAAGTTTTTGATTTCGTTTCAGTTTCATAAGCTACATCATTTTTTTATGGAGTGATCATTTTGAACAGTCCTGTCGTATCGAATAACCTGCTTCTTATATAGTTACAAGCTACAGATTATGTGTTACACGTAATCTTGAAAATAAGTTATGAATCAGCATCGCCGAAAGAGAGACACTCGTGACTATTATTCATGTCTTTTGATCTACTTGTACAATATTATGCAATGCCAAACGTGAGCTGGTAACTATCGTTGGGCAAGTTCGTGTAATCAAATAGTGTGTTGCTGTGGCCTTGATACAATAAATATTCCACAGGTACTATCTACTGTATTGGGTGTCGTTACAGACCCGATACCAGTGATCTATGAAACCTTGATAGGAAGTGTCTTGATAAACGGAATGCACTTTTAAGGCGTGAACGGCTGAAATAGATAATATACTCTCACCGACACTACTAATGTCTATACGTTTTCCAATCTGTTTAATTTTTCGTTTTGATCTGTTAGACAATAAAAACAACTGATCTGATTATATATTTGTTTGCATATCGAGAGAATCTTTTGGGTGAATTTGAAAACACAATCGTTTCCACGCTTCAATGAGTGTGAAATAAGTCGTCGAATGAAACTGAAAGATCTACAGTTGAAGCATGTTTACATAAACGACTTTAATTTCAATTGTCTTTTATCGTATACATGTGTACAAGGTTCGTGTTATGAGTGCTTTTACTTTCACTTTGTCTCGCACACTTATAAATGTTCAAGAATTCGAAATTTGATACATGTCTGCTAAAAATTTGGTCGTCATAACTGGAGAACTGATTCATAGTTATGCTATTGTTTGAAAGAAAGATGCTTCTACGTTTTTGGAAATAGTATTTTCGTTCTCAGTTCTACTGAAAAGTTTCTAATATTCTGATGACTAGAGACAGGAAGTTTTGAATGCGTTAAAAACATGAAAATTTTTACTCTCACTTTATTCTGCAACATCAAGCTTTGATCTACTTTCTAAATAGGTGAAATATATTTCGAGCACGGGTACACCTAGAAAAAATAAAAAACTCATAGTGTTTAAACATTATGAAAGGGTATACTTACGGTAAAGAACTACTTTGTTTCATGTTCCATCATAGCTTATCAAGTTTTTGATCATAACGACAACACTGAATTGCTCTTATTTATGTAAAACAATCTACCCACGTTACCCATTTTCGCCTAGTCTCATGGTCATAATTGTAGGAGTGTGTGTATGATTATCATTTAGTGTTTATCAAAACCCATACCCTCACATTCGTTTTTTCTAATTTTTTTGGAGTCGTTAATGTAATATGATG